GCAGAGACCAGACAAGAGAGGGAGATGATGAGGACTGAGTCAGGACTGGCCTGGGATGGTGTGCGTGAGAGGATCCAGGATGGCTGCAAGGTTTCAGTCTGAGCCAATAGGAAAGAGGTGAGGCCACTGAAAAGAAGGGAAGACGGGTGATGTGGTCTGCGGGGATGCAGTGAGGGCTTATGGTCAATAGTTTGAGATGACTGTCTACATTCAAGGAGAGATTACAAGTAGTCAATTCAATACAGAGAAGGGACTGGGTCCTGGCCAAACTTAAAAAAAAATTTATAAACTCATGTGACTTCATGACAACCATCTGTTCTCTATGCAAGGCTGGTGTTCAGGAGTTGGCAGCTGGCTTTACACCAGTTCTTTGTGAAAATTACAGGAGGCATATACACCTTTTTTTTTGTGTGTGACGACAGGTAAAGCACAATCGCCTAGGCAGGAGGTGGTTACACAGTTCTTTTCTGAGCTTTAGTTAGAGTCCTCTGGGCTTCCAAATGCTGGGTATCACTATTTCTTACTAACTGATCACCTTCCTTTTTCCCAGGGAGACTTTTTCACCCAGCCCTTTAAAGCAAAACCTAACAAGAACCATAAATACATAAATGTATTCCCCAGTGATTTCAGCAGTCTCTCTTGTTGTTCTAGCATAGATAACATCTTTCCATTATTAAACAACTTGTTTAGATCTGAAAAAGGAAACTACTGTCCTGCCTCTCCAAATAAGACACACTCCAGATTAACTCAGATGTAGTTTAAGATGTACTTGGTAACTTTAATAAAAAAAAACTACATTTAAAAAGCTTTTTAATATTATTCTTTTAAAAATGTAATAGTGATACCCATTTATTTATTTAGTGTGTCTGTGTGTGTGTGCGTGTGCACACGCGTGCAAGCTTGTGTGCATGTCTGTACCAAGGCATAAGTGGAGACAAAAAAATAACTTGCATGCGTTGTTTTTCTCCTACTATGTGGGTCCCAGGGATCACATTCAGGCTGCCACACTTGGTGGCAAGCGCCTTTACCTATTGGGTCATTTACTGATACCTTGGTATTTTTCTTAATTTTGCATATACAAATACTATGTATATATGTAATTTTAATATTGTTTAAAAAATACCCTAGGTATACACTTTACCATTGCTTTTTGGAGAACATCCACTGATATATACTATTGCCTATAAAGATAGTTACTAGTAATGGGTGTGAATACTGACACAGCATGCCTGCTGTGTGGACAGGCTGCCTGAACAAGCATAAATAACAAACAGACTTAATTGCCAAGGGCCCGGAAGCTCACTCCTATTGTATAAAATTCGCAGCTCCCCGGGAAAGCAGAGGAAGCTATGTGTTTCTATTCTACAGAGAAACAGCTGACCAGTTATTTAGCCTCACCCGTTAATTAAGATGTGTGTTATTAAAGTCTCTGGAACACAAGGCATCGGATAGAATGTCTGATACTTTCAAAGTGTTTTCTGGTTTTGTTTTCTTTTAAAGAAAGAGTACAGGTACAAGAATTTAACACAGTCTGTTACTACATCTCCTGGTGGTTTTATGTGGAGTGGCACCTTCAGGAAAAGTACTTTGACATTCTTTCACCAAATGGACAAGTGGGGAAGAGGACACAGGAAAATGCAAACCATCCCACTCCTTACTGGTGTCAAGTCAGCACAGGTTAGAACAACTGGGGGTGTCATTTTCATACCTCAGACCTTTAGAGATTAAAAAAAAAAACCCTGAGGGTAGAATAGGGAAATTCTGTCCCATCGTCACATGGCGATGGCCATGATGTGAACTTACAGCTTTTCTGGAGGGTAAATTTGTCAACCTTTATAAAAAAAAACCCTCTATAACTGTGCAAGTTTATCTACCCATTCAGAAATTTCATATCAACAAATTTAGCCTCAAGGAATAAATGTACAAGAACACAAAGAATGCTAATTTTCAGGATGCCACCGCATCACCAACTATAATACAAGTACTGACAGGACCCTAAGTGTTCAACCACAGGAGACCAATTTATTTTGGTACAGTTACACAATGGAGTGTTATGTAGGTTCTGGAACTGTAATACAGTGACCTGCTCACTGGAAATATGTAGCACCAGGAGAAAACACAATAATCATGAAGCCATGGAGAGTGAGGAACTGTTCTGATAACAGTGTGTGCATGTGTGTCAGCATGATACATATCAACATGCACATATACAAAAAAAAAAAAAAGAACAAAAATCTCCAAAGGGACAGACTGAAACTGTGTGAATAGTCTATTTTGGTGATTAAATTATAGGTACATTTTCTTTTTTCTTCTTGTTACAACTGCTTTTTATTCTACAGCAGAATGCAAAATTAAAATCTTATAAGCACAAATTTTGAGATTAGAAATATTTACAATATAAATAAGAAAATATAATCCCCAGCAAAATACAAAGCTGCTTCTCTTTCATAAATAAGCAGATATCTGAATCCTAACACTAAACTATTTCTCTGTACTACAAAATACAAATGGCACTAAAAACCATTTAGATATACCAACAGTTTATTACACTCCCGTTTTTGGTATTAATGTGCTATTCCTAGACAGAGGCCCATTCAACAGGCACCGTCACAGAGAAATATTATTGTTGAGTAAATGAACTGATTTTGAAAAACTAGGTACTGAAATGTGGTGTCTTCAAGTTGATGCGGCTCTCCCTATGCTCACAAAGCAGGACAGGATGCTCTCGCTCCCTCCCAGATCCTCCAAGTTGCAGTTAGCTCTGCTGCAAGTTATCTTTCTCACTGAAGGGCTGAAGCAGAGCTTGCAGCAGCAACAGTAACAACATGTCGTGTCTTGACTGATATTCTTGGCATGGGCATCTAAACAGATACTTCAGTTTTCACAGTACAAGGACATGCTGCACTAAGAGGAAGAGATGCACCAGGTGAGAGAGGTGGGCAAAGGATACAGGTAACCCTGAAGGTGGATGGTAGGGGGAAGAGGGGCTGGAGAGGCCTGGACAAGCACTTTAAAGGCAAACAAAAGCCTGGTTTGGGCTAACTGCTGTCTCCTTTAAGGGACCAACCTTCAACACCCAGCTCTGAAACTGGAGCTTAGAAGGCAACACTTTGCTTTTTCAAATTTCCTATATGATTCTGGGAAATGAATGGTTAAATTGTGATTCCAGCTGCCAAAGTCAAATTTTCCCGTACAGACTGTCCAGCTCAGTTCTGCCAGTGGAAGGATTCCGTGTAATTCAGCTTTCTTTGGACACTTTGGATGAAGGGAAGCCAGTGTCTTGGAAGTGGAGCCAGTCAAAGTGGGCAGTTTCAAAGTGAGTCAGGGTTTTCTCATGAAGAACAGACATCTACATCCCTGTAGCCAACAGCTTCGTGCTTCTCCTTCCGTCCCATTCAGTCATCCAGGATGAAGGGTGAGCTGGGCCCCACCGAGGTCCTGGCACATCTATCCATAGCGCATTCCTCCTGAGCTCTGATCTCACGGTAAGCCCTCCAGGGTGGCGCTGGATTGTTTGCTGCAGAGTATATGGTCTTAAGACTGCTGATGCAATGCAGCTGGAAGCCTTGCCAAGCCTCACCTGAGTTCCTATTCTAACAGAGAGCACCCCACTGAGGGCCCCTACCAGAGAACAAAATCAGCTGACCAAAGATGCTCACAACTCCCTCCTATTCCAAAGGTTGATGAAAGTTCCAGAGGTGACTAGCTCAGAAACATCACTCCTAAAACCATCTCCTTAAAGGAACAAGAGCCCCAGCCTCCCAGCCCATAAATCCTATTTATGTGACTATAAAGGAGGTCTCGCCTTTCTATCTTGATTATCATGACTTTTTTTAATGCTTCTTATACTTAGACATGGCAAATGTCACCTCCATCTATTTATTTTTATTTTATGTCTATGGATATTTTGGCTGGATACATGTCTGTGCACCACATGCCGGCAGAGCCATGGAGGCCAGAAGAGCATGCTGGACCTCCTGGAACTGGAGTTTTAGACAGCTTAGCACTATGTGGTTCTGGGAATCAAACCTGGGTCTTCTGGAAGAGCAGCAGGCACCACTCTTAGCCTCTGAGCCATCTCTTGGTCCCCTCCATCTCTGCGATTTTGGCTTATCCCATTGCGTCAAGGCCTCTTCAAACACTAAATTCTTTTACCCAATTTAATACTTCTTACTTTTAGCATTGCTTGATCTAAAGCCGTTGTCACACAGGTGGATGAACAGGTCACAACACACTTACGAGCAGCCCAGGCCCCTGAATACATTTCCTCTTCTTTACTATGTACCCGAGCTTTCCACGCAGACGACAACTCAGAGGCAGATGGGACTTTTCCAGGTGACTGAAAGACACAGCCAGTGACCTCAGGGTCTCTCCTCTGCCAGAATGGAGAATAAGCGCTAATGGCAGGGGCAGAGATGAATGACAAAGTACTTTAAAGTATGCCACCTCATCTTAATAAAAGACAGTGCAATGCTCCGACTGTATTGTACTCTTACAGTGTCAGGCATGAAAAAAGTTAATTTCATTAATGGGCTATTAAAAATACATATATATGTATAAACACATATTTGGAATTAGCACTTAAACCCAGGATTTCATCAACAAGTTATCTTCCCAGTCCTCAAAATATTTCCATATGAATCTTGTTGATATTGCTGCAGTTTCTCTGGGCTTCGTGTGAGCAGTCGAGCCGTTCAGGCAGCAGAGTCCTGCAGATGTGGCAACCTCCTCTGCCTGTGTCCAACCCCACTTTCCCATTTGACCCATAAGACATGGCATTTTCTGTACTACAGAGAAGAGATAACGAGGAGGAGCAATGAAACGGGTGAAAGCCGAGGTGGAGGAACAATGTATAATGTCTCCCATTTGTCTCCTTCGAAGCATGGCAGGCCCTGGGAAGCTGCTTACACCAACAGAGCAGATACACATCCCTAAGCATACGTTCAGCATGTACACACACAATACACATTGCTAAAAAAAGATAAATGCATCATACTGACCTTGGGGGGTTTAAATGGATAGTCTGGTGAAAAGGTGATGTCAAGAAAGAACACCCCTCCTTCATACACAGATCCTGGGGGCCCCAATATAGTTGACCTCCATTCATAGATGTTGTCTCCTTTGGGTCCAGCGCTGAAATAAGACACAGAAATGAAATGTGCTTACAAACTACATAAAGTTTGGAATTAAAAAATATATATATTTATGTAATAATAAATTGAGTAATTCCATAAAATATAGCAAAGTTAAGAGGTTAACTTTATCTCACATATTGCTCAGGTCAACATCATTGTTCTAGAAATGGAACATTCTGGTGTTACTTAATGCAACAGAGTTGAAGGTTCTGCCCGTAAGGCTCATAACCCAAACACCACGGAGCAAGTTTCCAAGGACACCAGCCTTGTATAAATATGAAATTACCTGTGAAGTCTTGAGAAGGGTGACGTAGCCCTGGGAGCCCACGACACAAATCTCCAAGTGAGAGGCTAATGCAGGGCAGCTGGTCACCCTCCCCTAAGCACGAAGAACTGAAAACAGGCACCACGATGCCAGAAACAGCCACATTCAGGAGATCCACCCTGCGACATGCCACCTCTCCCTCCTGCCCCCATCTCCTAGATGATAAGAAGTGACATTTTATTTCATGATTGTATTTGATGACATTGTCTCTGTTCCTACCTAGAATAAAAATTCTTTGGGGAGTAGACTTCCTTCTAAGTGCACATCTGTTGGACAATGACAGACTAACAGCTGAGCAGGTCATGTGACAACGCGTGGCCAACAGAAATCTGCATCTCTATCACATTCACTAAGGAGAATAAAGCCCGGGTAAAAATGAACAGCATTACTCGTCAGAAAGGCAGCATTCCCGGAGCTGGGTGTACTCAGTGGTACCGTGCTCCTGGTGCCCTGGGCCTGATCTCAGAGCCACTCTTTTCCCTGCCCAGGAGAAGTAGGAGAAACCCCAAATAACTCAAAACGTTATCCGGGATTGTCTCTGTGTTATCAGGCTATTATTTATAATAAAAATAACTATATAAATGTTGTAATATGAGCGGCGGGACTGTGTCCCCAGCACCCTGGCCGCCTGCTAGCTTATGCCCCGAAATAATTACACGGACACTGTATTCTTTTAAACACTGCTTGGCCCATTAGCTGTAGCCCTTACTGGCTAATTCTGATATCCCGATCAACCCATCTCTAATAAACTGTGTAGCACCTGTCTTACTGGGAAAGATTCAGCATGTCTGACCTGGTGGCTTGCTTCATCGCGTGCGTCTGCCCGGGAGAGGGGAGCATGGCCTCTGTCTGAGGCATCTTACCTCACTTCCTCTTCCTCCCAGCATTCTGTTCTGTTTACTCCTCCCACCTATGTTTTAACCTATGAGGCCAAGCAGTTTCTTTATTACTTAACCAATGACCTTCCTCCATCATATGAATGCTTAGGGATGATTTTACTCCGAAGTCACTGTAAAAATATTGATCAGAACCAAGATGAGACTACACAGTGACAAAACTTTCAGAGTAATTCACCTCACTAGCAAGAAAACATCATTCTGAGGTTACGGAGAAAGAGACTTCCTCCACTCTCTTTTCCTCCCCCTCCTCCTTCCCTCTTCCTTCCTTTCTTTCTCCCTTCCCTTCCTCCTTCCCCAACCCTCTTCCTTTTCTTCTGTGCAAAAATAAAATCTTTAGAGTCTGAATGGCAGTTCATGTTTATAAACTAAGAAATAATATCTAGATCATGTAAAACTGACCAAATCTTAGGGCCCAAACAGAAAATCTTATGAATTAATAGGAAAAAGACTAATAATCCACTAGAAAGACACAAATAGACATTTCTAAGAGACAGAAATAAAAATTAAAACACTTAGTTTTGTCAAAATTGGGAAAAATAACAATCCGACTGACAAAAGTAAATGCTAAACAAACAAAACTTGGCAGAGATAAGGACTTGGGAAAATCTGATTTCTACACACTGCAGATAAGGATGTTCAAATACATTGGAGAACACACCAGTCTTTATAAAGGAAGGAGGGAAATTCTGTACTTTGCAGTGCCATGGGTGGACAGGAAGGTGCTGAGCTCAGCAAAGGCAGGTGCTGGATGGCAAATGCTGAGATTTCTCCCCCGTATGTGCTAGCTACAACACTGGGATCTTAGCAGTGGAGAGTAGAACAGCTGCTCTGAGAGCTGGGTATGAAGACAGACTGGTTAGTGGGTATGAGCCAGGTAGATAAGGGTTTGGATGTGAGGGAGCCTAGCAAATTAAGTTCTATCACCAGAACTGTGTTTCCTGGTTGGGCAAAGAGCTAGTAAGGGATGCGAGGAAAGTGCAACTGTATCTTGGCAGCTGTGCCAGCCTTTTGTGCTTAGACATTGTTGATACTGCAGTAGGGTCTTCCTGCTGTACCAGGAACTAAGGCAGCAGGGCACGTTGCTAGTTGCCACACATGCATGCTAACGGGGGTGCCCTCAGAAGACTGTGGCTCCATTATCGTTTGCATTGTGTTTTAGACCCTCTCCCTCCTTCCCTCCACCCGTGGATCATTGGCAGAAAGACCCTAAGAGAGAGAAGCCACACATCACGATTTGGGAAAGAAGAAAGTCACTGTCGCCCATTAACATACCACCCATTTAAAAGTTGCAAACTTCCCTAAAATGCACAACATGGAATGATGTTCCTCCTTTGGTCAGCCCACTCCAGTTACTCCCTTGAGCACACTACTGCTTTGCTATGCTCTGCTCAGTAAACCTCCGCTTAAACTCTCCTTGCCTCTCAGCAGAATCATTCATTTGAGAAGGCAAGAACTCAGGAGAAAGCTTTTCTAGATAACATCTTTCAGGGGTGCAACTAAATAACAGGAGTCAGTTTTAATGTCCTGTGTCACATGAGGGCAACTACAGTATAGTTGACAAGAATTCATTAAATATTTCAAAATATCTAGTAGCAAACTTTTCTTCTAATGTTCCAAACACAAACAGACGGCTGATGTCTGAGGTAAAGGATACACCAGCTAGCGCTTTGATCCCTACACACATCTATATCAGAGCTGCGCTGTGCCTTGTTATATATCCAATGGCCACTTCAATTAAAAATAAAAACACATGTTAATTAAGAATGCAGACTTTGACTCAACTGAACACACCCTTGCCATAGAGCAGAACATCTGCACGCAAACCCACAGACGCAGTGGTGTATGCACATCAGAGGGTCGCTGTGACAGCCTTGGTGGTGTATCTATCTATACTCTAACTGGAAGCAAACAAACTTACCTAGAGGGAAGCCATGTGGTTGTGAGACTCTGCATATCAGCAGGAGCAGATTCTCAAGTTCAAAAGTCACCGGAGAACCCAGCAGGAAAGAGAATATATTGCTGACACAGCTATGGTGTAAAACAAGAAACTGAACAAGGAACGAGTTCAGAGGCATGGTTTCTTGGCGTTCTCCTATGTCTTAGTTACCTTTCTATTGCTGGGATTAAAATACCATGACCCTCATGGCTGGGAGCATGGCAGCTGCCATGGAACAGGAGAGTTAGCTGAGCGTTCACTCACATTCGTTCCACAAGTGAGAGGCAGAGAGAGCTAACTCTTGAACCTCAAAGCCTCACTACAGTAACAGGTCTCCCCCACAAGTCCATGCTTCCTTATCCTTCCCAAACAGTTCCACCAAGTAAGGAGCACATGTTCAAACACATGAGCCCATGGGGGATTCTCATTCAAACAACCACACTCTACTACACCACGCGTGGTGCTCTTAGGAGCAATGTTTGATAATCTAATCGTGTAGTGTCAAGTATGTTCATTTGTATGTATCAAATTTTATATAAAGAGAAAGTCTGAGAGTCAGTAAGGTGGCTCAGTAGGTAAAGATGCCTGATGACATGAATTTGATCCCCAGGAAGTGTACGATGGAGAGAACCCACTCCTGCAAGTTGTCCTCCGACTTTCAAATATGAACTAGGGCATGTGTATGTATACATATCCACACATCCGTGCACACAAAGTACAAATACAATAACATCAGGAAGTGGGAAAGTATGTTAAAAAGGCCATAAGATGCTATGTGAATTGAGAAGGTTCTGTGAACCTACTGTGCATTAAAAAAATGACCTAGTGTTCTACCCAGCTGTAAAGTTCATGAACTACAACGAGTGGCTTTGGCACAATGCCCCCAAGGGTACAATAGTGGCACTTCTTACGAGTAGCGAACAGCCATTTAATTAGACTTAAGGCCTGCTCAATAGCAGGGAATTCATGCCCGGTCCTATAAACCCAGCCAACCACCCATGGCGGGTGAGGTCGTGGGTCCTAGGAGAGCCTACATGGCTGCCACTGTCTTAAACCAGTCTAAGACTCCCAGCTGTAGTCTCTGCACCGACTCTGCTACTCACAGTAGCTCTCCCCGCTCATCAACAAAGCTGCTTCTGGCAGCAGCTGGAGACAATTACAGATGTCCATGACTGGTCAGAAAACAGATCAACCACCGATACACACATAATACCACGCCAACACCTAAGGCTCAGGGCGCATCACAGAAAGGGGAGATGGGAAGACTGTGAGATCAAGAGGCCATCTGCTGTAAATGGTGTCTACCATATATGATCGGAAGGGTACACCCATTAAATATAAAAAAAATATGACTGACTAAATAAGACCTGTACCATGACAACCCAAACTGACAAACAAGTGTGGATGGCGGGCATCTCACAAGGCCTGACCCACAGGCGAAGAGCTGCAGGCAATAAATGGCTGCTGGGAGAGGGAGAAGTTCTTTGATAGTTTATCTAGTCCCAATACATATACAGATGGCAACACTCAGAGACAGCAGGTTTTACACACACACACACACACACACACACACACACACACACACACAGAGTCATGAATTTGAGACTGGGGAGGGACAAGGAATTGGAAGGGTAAAGGAGGAGATGAAAAGGATGTAAACACAACATTGTCATAAAGCACTTGTCTACTAGCTATGAGGCTTTGAGCTCAGTTTCCCACAAAACAAAGAAATGAATCTATTTCAAAAGACATGGACTGTTAAGATGGACCTCAATTCACAAGTGACCATAAGAACAAGGGTTAAGGGGGATGGGGGAAGCGGAATCTGACAGATCCAG